TGGCGAAAAAGTCAGACCCGCGCGGAAAGACGCAAGAGGGTGGCGCTGGGGCCTGGCATACTTGGAAAGTGGGAAGTTTGAGCGTGACAGGGAGGGACAGAGCCCCCGTTCGGCCGGAAAGCGCCGTTCCGCCTTCAGCTGGCAAGAATAAGTTGAAAAATTAAACAGTGCACTTAATGGGTAGCATTTAACATACCGAGTACTGTTTCAACCACCACCATACTCCACCTTAGCACCAAGAAAGAACCCAAAATGAGACAAAAAGGCACAGGCTACACATACATCAGGGTTCTTGGTCTCTGTGGGTTGCCTTTCTCTGCCTTCCCAGCCTCTGGAGCTCTCTCCCAGGAAACTAGTGGTTGAGAAGGGGAAGGTGGGGAAGAGGAGGGGAAGGAGGAAAGTAAAGGTTAATAACTTGGGGTGTATTCTTAAATATTTTCCCATCTAATATTTGATGCATACAAAATAATATATTTAACGAACACGTGAAATTTAAAACATACTAATAAAAAGAAAATCTGACCCAACCACATCATCAATATTTAGCACTTACTTCTGTATCTCCAGGATTCTACTCCTTGCCTCTTCCTCCACCCCCATTATCAAGTTTTATTTGTAGGTTCTGCTTTCCATTTTTAGTAGATGCATTTTGGATGCATCTCTAAACTATTGTTTCATTTTCTTCTTGTAAAAAAAATATAGTTAATATATAGATAGCCTTCCCAGATTTGCTTTTATTACTCAACTTTTGTTCCTTTGACTCATCAAAGTAGTTAAGGGTAATAGTAGAAATTTAATTTTCACTGCTTAGTTAAATGGGAGTTCTTTCCTGTCAGAAATGTATTCAGACATGATTATTTAAAAATGCACTCTTTAAAAGTTTCCCTGCTCTGGCACTGGGAATTGAACCGAAGGCATTTCTGACCCTTTTATTTTTTTATTTTGAGGCTGGGTCGTGATAAATTGCTGAGGCCCTTAAACTTGCATCTAGCTACATTATTATTTCTATGTTGATAGCAATCACACTAAATGTATCTGCTTCCCTGAGTTCCTCACTACATTGCTGAGGGCCTTACTAGATTGCCAAGGCTGGCCTCCAACTTGCAATCCTCTTGTCTCAGCCTCCTGAGTGGCTGGGATTACAGGTGTGTGCCACTGCACCCAGCTAACTGTTCACTTTTGAGCATAATAATTTTTCAAAATTCTGTATGTTTTCTTTAAAAACCTTACTCTTCTCTGATCTTGTAAACTCATGCCCCCACAAAATCTGGCTTTGTTCCTGGTAATAACAAGGCTAGCAGGACATTTTTGATCACCTTCAGCAAGTGTATCTGAGAATCATTTGAATCTGTGAGCAGCACTGTTGGAACAGAGGGGAGGGAGATGTCCAACTTTCAAAGATAACTCTGAGATACTGTCTGAGTGGTTGTACCAATCTCTTTTGCCTTCAGTACTGATAAGCTCTAGCCTCCCACATTCTCTCCAATCCTCCTTATTGTCAGACTTCTTACTTTTTTGGTAGTTTACAAAGAATAAATAGGTACCTTATGTCAAAATGAACCTCACTAGTGTGTATAACTAGAATGTATAAACAAAAAA